TTCCCACGTGGATGGAGAGCAAAAAAATGGGTGGTTCAAATTCGAAAGCCGCGCCTTTCTTCTTCGCGAGATTTCATGTTATGCACAGTAGCGACCACGAGCGAGCCATACACACATTTCATTATTACATTCTGAACGGCTATTGTAGTAGTAGCGTAGTCTACACATTTATCATATTTTCCTAAGCAGTTTTTTCCTCTAACACGCTTTTTGAAAATGGAGATACGTTGAACTCTGCCTCTATTTGCATTGTGGGAGTTTTTAACTGCCTTTTTCTGGTTCATGATTAATTGCAGAATATCGCCAAAATATCAGGATAATTTCTGCTGATATCACAAATCTGTACATTTTATCTGCGCCCATCATCATAATTATCTTACGAAACTAAGTTTGTATGGATAGTGCGTTCCTGATGCTAATAAATGTAAATTACAAAACGGCTCGGGCGGAAGGATGCGGTGCACTATGCTCGCCGCCTTTCGACGTCCTTGTTAAATGGTTCAGGGGGCAGCATTTTTGATGCTGTCCAAATACCCAAATCCTTATGGGGATCCACTTCCTTTTGTAGAGCCCCGTTCAGACAGTACGGCTATGGAGGGAAACTTCTCCGCCCAGATTCAAAAAGGAGGGCTTCATATTTGGGTATATTAAATGGCAGGAGGAACTTGCTGGAACTCATAACCGGTTTATCAGGAATTTCTTTTAATTTCTGCACGTCGCCAGTAGAACTAATGGTTTCCCAAATTTTAGATATCATTTGCAAACGTGATTGTATCCAACTACACATTCTCAATGCAGTCGCTTGTATAAAATAAGAACAGAAAATGGCCAAAGACTAAGTCCTGCGAAGCATTACTTTCTATTGCTACGCATTCGGATTCCGAGCTGCCAGCAATGTCAGTTAAAATTACGAGTCACTGAAGTCTCAGCTCCTTATATTCAGGAGTTTTTACTGTTCCACACAGAGCTACAAATTCAATGTTTAAGGTCCATCAATTTAAACTTTTTATATTATCATTAGTACTATTGTTCTCGAAAAGATCAGTCATCGGCGCTCACCAAAAAACAGCTCATACTGTACATACCACAGTTTCCAAGTCCTACTGCCGTTAAGTTCTTACAAATAATTTAATCCAACATTATTGTTTGTATTTTTCCGCCCATATTAGTGACTCTGTTACATTAATACTACCTCCAGGCGCTTAGCGACAAAAATGTTATTATTTTCATTGGACGGCAGGCGGGTGAACATTCACATGGCATCGCAGATCGGATTTTTCATTATCAGTTCCAGGGAGTCTCGCCTTCGCACGACAATGTGAATTATCAGAAGCAAATGCCGAAAACGCAAGCGCAGTTTCGTTGCCTTATTCCACCTCGGAAGGCGACAGAATATTTCCGCGCAGGTATAAAGAAGGAAGAGACCATTGTCATTTCTGACCCTAAGTCTAAAAAGACCAAACACCTTCTGTAGACATCGTGGTCTATTACGACGGGGACGCGAAAGACAACCAGCTTGTTTGCCTATTGAGCGGTATCGAGGAGAGTGAGTGGGACTTTGTAGAACTTGTCATTCAATTTACAACGGTTGGCAATTGGGGGAGACGTAAGTGTCAACGTTGGCAGCAAATTCGTTTCGTAAACAGACATGCGCACAATCACGAAACGGTCTTTGATGCTTTGCAGTGGACTGGGTCGACTTCCCGAATGTCGTTCCTGATGAATAAAAAGCGACGAAAATAGCATGTTTGTCCACATTTAAGAGCTGCTCCACGGGAAATGTAGCCAATACTGACATCTAGACTTTCCCTTTCTTGGAAAAGCTGTGGTGTCCACGTTGTGGTTTGACAGTACTTAAGTAACCATGCTCGTTTGCCTTTCCGCTCTGTTGCTCAACGGTTTGTCCACGACTGAGTGAAAATGCCAGGTTGCCATAGTTGGAAAAGCCGTTCTAGCAGTCTGTGAACTAAGAATATGAAGGAGCGATTGAGGTTCTA